TTCTTGATTTACAACCATTCATTTAATGACCATATGAAGTTACAACACATTGAAAAAAGTGACTTACAGCCAGTCCTAACAATGTTTTTATGACATGAGTAGCAGCTTTTATCCTGAAGTTTAGAAACCAAGGGGTTTTGATTTCTGAGAATCAAACCAGATGTTTTTAATAGCACAATACTTACTAGCATTACATAACTGATGATGTCCCATTATGTTTTGGAAGAATACCATATAATGGCCACTTTTTATATATTCTCTTTTATCTTTCCACTTATTAATTTCAATCACTTGCTGAAAAGTAAAATCTATCTATTTGGGAAGTTAACTGAAGTGACTCTTATGATAAAGCAGAAATATCTACACTAGCTTGATAACTGGAGCTGATCTGCACAGCTATTGGTAACAGATTCTTATAATATAATATAACATTAACTTTCTATACTAGTATTCTCCCAAATATAGGGTATCATGGTATAATATTGGATGATCTCTTTGTAGAAAGAGATTGATGATTGCTTAACTCTGAGCAATATATTTCCATGCATCTCTTGCTGAAAGCTTTGTGCCAGAATGAAGAATTGATTGACTGAGTGAGTGAATGGATGTTTATAAAGTAGAAGACTAAAACGGCTCAATGCAAGTATTACTAAATTGCTAAAGCAAAGTCAATGGGAAAGTCAAATACATTCAATAACAATGTTACTAACTTAACAACAATTCACTTAATAACTGTGGCAAGAAAGGTCATAAAATGGAGCAAACTCACTTAACCAATGTTTCACTTAGCAACAGAAATTTTGGGCTCAATTGTGGTCGTAAGTCGAGGACCACCTGTCGTATCATACTGTAGAAGAATATCACAGTTCCCATTTTGCAGTTGCAGTGTCCTGGGGTCATGTGACCATCTTTTTTTACCTTCTGACAACCAAAGTCAATGGGGAAGCCAGAATCAATTAATAATTGTGTTACTAATTCAACAAGTGCAGTGATTTACTTAACAAATGTGGCAAGAAAAGTCATAAAATGGGACAAAACACTCTTAACAAATTTCTCACTTAACAAACATAAATTCTGGACTCAGTTGTGGACTACCTGTATCCTTTACAACATAAACACTTTGTTTAAGCCATTTTAAACATATCACAATTCCTCCGTGCCAAGTATGAGCAATCCTGACATCTCTTCCTATAAGATTTCCAAGCTTCCATATCAGTTTTAGGAATAGCAACAAAGATTTTAACTTTCATTACGGAAGAATTTTGTTGCAGGCAACAGTTTGGCACATTGTTAAAATCATTAGACGATAAACATGGATTTAATGAACTAAATTATCAGCGCTGTGTTTCCAGCATCAAAAATTTACCCTGCTGTTTCATGTTAAAATTTACTGTGGGACTCTAAAGTAATATTAATTAGATGAATCAACAAAGGTATTAGTTAATTAATGAAGATGGGCCAGCTACAAATCCATTATTTTTATGGTCATCAGGTTTTGCTGTATTGAAACAGACATTAAAGATAATTTTTTTCACGTAATAACCAGGGCTTTTTTTCTCATAGAACACCCAGAATGGAGTTCCGGCACCTTTTTTGGATGGAACCTTGTAGGGTAGGCAAGGCGAGTTGTATGATATGTGTGAGTTCCGGCACCTTTTTTTTTTTTTTTTAGATAAAAAGCACCGGTAATAACTAATAGAAAGTATTGGCTGAAATCCTAGACCAATCTTCAAGTGCCCTTGAATGCAGTAAGAATTATTTTTGAATAGATATGTACAGTATAGTATTGCCTTGTAAGTGACTGACAAGTTACATTTCTTATATTAGCAATACAAACAAGATAATCCCATAAACTGAACAACAGAAACAGAAAACTTGGTAGTGATGGGACAATGGGAGAAAAAATATATTATTCATTTAATGTATTACATTTATACTTTACTTTTCATTTAGGGACATTTTATCCGTATACGTTGGTTGGGTGTGGAGATAAATAAGGCCCTATAGCAGGGGTTCAAAATTATAGTGTATATGCATAATTCATTGCCGTTATTTTGAATTTTTGTAAGGTGTGCAAGAATATATCAGAAGCATTCTAGGGGTGCAGGGTATAGAAAAGGTTGGGAACCACTGCCCTATAGTTTTAGTTAGCTTTGTGACTTGAGGTTTTGCCAAACCTAGTCCACATGCTTATTACAATAAACTTATTTAAAGAACAATTAGTATTATTGAATTCAAGAAATAATAAAAGATTAAAATATTGCATGTATATGCTTGGACTTAACAGTAGCTTTCTTTGTTATTTGCCCAAGGCAAATGATTTACATTACTTTATAGTAGTTCCTTTGAAGTGTGAATTAATTGGAAAGAATATTAATTACAGTTGAGCTTAGGCATAGCAAGTCCATGCCTGATTTCTAATATCCTCAGAAATGCCACCTTAATTTGTAAGAAAATGAAGCCTTCTCCACTGATATGGCTAGTGATTCCTTTTGTTCAATCAACGAAAAAGTAAACTTTTACATATAGCACCTTTAGTTATCCCAGATATACCACATCTATAGAAGAGTTTATGTAATTCCAGTTGTAGTTAATGGTGCAATGGTAGCTGTCTTAACAGAGTTATAGATTTGCAAACGTTCAATAACCAAATTATTTACCTCTATTACACCATCCATGTACTTGTTTTTATTCTGTCTCTTGGTTCCATCCACCCATGACTTTCCCTTCCTTTCAGTCCATTCTTTTTTATATATTTGTTTTATGACTCAGGTCTCATTCATTCTCTTTATAAAACCGAATCATTTCAATGAATTTTTGTCATGATCACTAACTTTTGTATTTCAACCACTTTCATACTTCACCCATTCATCCTTGACCCTTTCTCTTCTTGTTTTATTATATACACTTTTAAATTATCCCTTTTGGCATTCCACGTAATTTTATGTTTCTCCTGACATATTCAGCTCTCACTTTGATATTATAAATCTCAGAATCATCAATCAGGATTGATTTTTAATGTTAAAAGAACAAATATATATATACACACACAAACACACCAGCATAATGCAAACACATATTGCTACTTGTAGCCAAAAGCAGGAAAAGCTGATTTAATAAAATAAATAAGTGGACTGAACTTGAATTAGTACAGCAAAGCTAGTTTAAATGAAAGTTGATAATTTAGAGAAAATCTAATTAGGCACAATGCCTATATCTTTAAATTATGGCAATTAAAGAGAAGACGGTTTTAGTGGAATTTTAATTCTTCTCCGAGGGACTAAACATACCAAAGAAGCTACTACAACATATGTAACTGATTGTACTTTTTAAAATGATCTTAAATTATCCGCATAAGAGTGGCTCCAGATTTTGTTGAAAGAGAACATAAATTAGAGCCACTCCTTGCGCTGATCATTTGTCTTGGATGAGGTGGATATGGTTACAAGCATAAAGATATGCTTTAGATTTGAGAGTAAGGCATATGATATTGATTTAAGTGTTAAATAAAAAGAAAAATATTTATTTTTAATGACTAATTTTATCTTGGGACTCTCACATCAATATATTAAAGGTTAAATGGTTTACTATATCCAATGAATTTATTACACTATTGATCTGCTAGTGTTTTCATGTGCATATAGAACCAATAGAATCCTTTTGGGTTTTGCATTTCTTTTTTTATTAAGAAAACAACAAATGTTCTTCAGAGTATTTGCTTACTACTTATGAGTCAAAGGTCTCATAGTTGATGGCTATGGATTTCACAAAATATGGTGATCTCACATTGAGAGGCTGGATTTTGAAACATAACAACTGAAACCCTTTAACAGATGTTCATCACTAAAACCTGTTAAGAGCAGTTAATCCTCAGTTAACATGTTCTGAGTATTAGCTGCTTAAACAAATCTTGTTTTGATTTGGTTTTTAACAGATTACAATTTCAGTGTTTGGCCAGATTATTAAAAACTGGGATTTGTTTAAAAGATTTTTAATCTCCTTTTTAAAAACAATGTCAATTTTAAAATTAGGATATGAACAAAAAGTCTATACTATATTTTGCACAATTTAGTAAATTTTTGAAAAGTATACAGTAGGACTCAACATCTAAGTAAACATGCACAGAATTGTGTAGATTATAAAATGAAAAAATATATATTATAATAAAATAGCCATTAGTGTATGTGTACTTCACCCTAGATACTTTCGTAGCTTGTGTGCAGAGGAATATCATTGTGCACTCAGATTTCACATGCATGAAAGCTCTTACTTCTTGAGTTTAGCATCTGTAGCACCTCTAAACACACCTCTAATTATAAGTGGCAATTCTGCCCCTTAGCAAATCTGATTAAAGAACACACATATTTGGACAGGAGCCAGAGGCAGAGTTTACCATCCTAAACATATTAACCAGTGAAGCAATGAATCAAACACAGTAGAACCTATTTCATGATATACATGCTTAGCGTTGTAGGGATGAAGTACTGAGCAGTGTATTTTCTGGTGTAGTTTACACGCTAGTTCATTGCCTTCACTGAGGCAAGCAATTCAGTTGTAAAGACTGATTCCCAGTTTATATGTAACTAGCAATGGGTTGACACCATGAGTCTCAAGTCTTTAAATTCAATACATATCATTTACTTTGAAGAGGTTGCACAATGTAGCCTTTAAATGGGGGGGGGGACAGTTTTTGTACCTGTTAAGTAAATCTGATCAACTCTTAAAGTCACACATTTCTAATTACTTTTTTTTAAAATGAAGACTTCTGATTGTAAAAAGTGGTGCAGTTATTATTCTTTTCTGAGAACAATTTTTATTCTAATAGTATACCATAGATTCGGTAAACCAAAATGTTCCTAAAATGTTTCCTAGGAATGCAGTAGATTTAAGTTACCTAAAGTTTTCCTTTCAAATCACTAGCAAAACAAACAAACCCCAAACCAGACAGCATTCAATGGATGACCAATTTTAAACATAATAATATTAATACAGTACTGTACCTGATTATCCTGATGCCCATCCAACAGCCACGCTTCCTGCAACTGAACTTTACTCTGCCAGAGCTCCTATATTAAACACCTTCATCTTTTCAATTTTTTTAAACGTACAAGCCCAGGCAAACTTTAAATCCAGGAAAATGAAATTAAACACACACATCAAAGGCAGACAAGCAGTGAGACCAAATGCTTGTAATCTGATCAGTGATCTGTTGCCGTACATCAAAGGCTGTGCTTTGGAGACGAGAGAGAGAGAGAGAGAGAGAGAGAGAGAGAGAGAGAGAGAGAGAGAGAGATTTCTTCTTTAGCTGCTAATAATACTGTAGCTTCCTCTTTTCCTTACATACGTGTAATAAAAACTTATCAGTGTAGGTCAACCTACCCTCCTTCCTTTTTTCTTTGGAAAGGGAAAAAATCCGTCTTTCTTGGAATTGAGTAGCTGGGTCTCTAGCTGATCTTTTCTTTTTTCCTTTTCCTTTTTTTTTTTTTTTTTTTGTTCTCAAGCTGTGCTCCTCACGGATTGTGTGTTGGAAGTTTTCCCCAGTGCCAGCGGGTTCCGCTTAATGCCTTTCATCTCGCTGAACTGATCCCATGACATCATTCAATGCTGTGGGACTGGTTAGAGAACTATAATACAGCCTGTGGGGAAACACAGCTGAACTGCAGCAAAGAGTCGGTGTGGTTTTTAATCGAGTTAGCTGTTGTAAACAAGGCAAGAAAGAACGTTCTGCTGTTTGGAATTTTCAATATGAATCTGCAAAAGGGTTCGCCCATTTTAAATGCCCTCGTAGGATGGAGTTGTCTGTTCACGTTCAAGCAAGGGCATTAGCTGGCATGGTGTGTGACTTCCATACAGATTTCCCACACAGACCAAAAAGATAAACTTGTCAGAGCATTTGCAACAGCTGCCAAAAAAAATACTACTGCAACCAGCAAAAGAATTAAAAAATCAAATACGTATGTAAATTCCCACCCTTAACTCCAGTACTCATATGACTTTTATAACTATAACTAAAACTAACTATAACTATAACACTTCAGATGTTTATGTTTCTTTAAATTTGGTAGGGGGATTTGTTCAGAATAAGTCTCATAACCAAATTCTATGCATATCAATTCAGAGATGTCCTGTCCCCCAGGAAATGCACATTGAATTACTAAGCTTTGTTAGAGAGCTCATGGGAAGCCTTCCATTCTTTTGCTTATCAATGCAATTGGTGCAAAATGATTATTTTTTTTTCTATAAAAAGAGACCATATGTTGATCTAACTGCTCTTTTTGCTGATTTGTGGCAAGGAAACCTGATCTGGCTACTGGTTTATTTTCTCTCCTTCAAGCTTTATTGCATGGGGAAGTGTTCTGTCGTGTTTGCCTGTGCACTTCTGCCAAGTGTGGTTTGGAATGGAATGTTTGCTTTGGTTCTTCCTCTGGTGATGCCCAAATGGCCTTTGCACAAAAAGCAGCATCTGGATATGAAAGTACTAATTTTGGCCATAGAGTAATAAGCACAGGGACAGGAAACATGTGATATCTTTGTCTGTAACTGTTCTAAGCCCCGCCTTCTCAAGAATGAAAAAAAAATATGTCCATTCTTCCTTCTTGGAGAAGGAAATTACATGAGCCATAAATCTCTCTGTGCATTGAAGTGTGAGGATCTATCCTTCTTAAGAAGGCACCCTAGTTTTGCATTATATGTTGAACGTTAGTTATGATTCGTCAGTCTGCTGGATTTATTTATTTTTATTTTATTTATTTATTAAACAAATTATGTGGCCACTCAACTCACACATGGTGACTCCAGGCAGCTTACAACATTAAAATTTCACATTGTTAAGAATCCATAATCCCACACCCTGGTTGTGGCAGCTACACAATCATACCAGACACTTAATTGGCTCAATATTCCCCTGGACTTCCTGTCACACTGAGAGAGACATGTCTTTAGGGCTTTCTGTAAAAATGTCAATGTGGAGGCCAATCTTGTGTTCCAATATCTCAAGGCTGCCACAAAGAAGAGGGAGTTAAGCTATTCTCCAAGGCGCCTGAAGGCAGGATAAGAAGCAACGGATGGAAACCGATCAAGGAGAGAAGCAACCTAGAACTAAGGAGAAACTCCCTGACAGTTAGAACAATTAACCAGTGGAACAACCTGCCTCCAGAAACGGTGAATGCTCCAACACTGGAAGTTTTTAAGAAGAAACTGGACAGCCATTTGTCCGAAATGGTATAGGGTTTCCTGCCTGAGCAGGGGGTTGGACTATATGACCTTCAAGGTCCCTTCCAACTTATTATTATTATTATTATTATTGTTGTTGTTGTTGTTGTTGTTGTTGTTGTTGTTGTATTCTGAAGGGAGGAAGCCACCATAGGAAGGGCCTTTTCTTTGGTCCAACTAAATATATTTTCCCAATAGATGGGACTTGCGACATATCTTTCTTTTCTGCTCTGGTGGGCTGGGTAGATGTAACTGGGGAGAGGTGGTCTTTCAAATAGTTTAGATTTTGGATCAAAAAAATGTAGATTAGGGGTCTTCAAACTTGGCCCTTTTATGACTTGTGGACTTCAACTCCCAGAATTCCTCAGCCAGGTGCCTGGTTGAGGAATTCTGGAAGTTGAAGTCCACAACTCATAAAAGGGCCAAGTTTGAAGACCCCTGATTTAGATTATTTGGAAATGTTGATTCAGTCTCACCATAAAGTCTAAAGAAAGAGAGGGAAAAGACCACATGCAATATGTAAAACAGATTATCATTAGAATTGGATTACAGAATAATATTTCTGATGAAACTGTACATATATAAGATCATATTTGAAACACTGTGTATTGTTTTGGTCATCTTGTCTAATTAAATGCATTATAGTGATAGGAAAGAAAATGAAAGCACACTGTGGACATCATAAACATAAAAACTTTATTGTCATTTTAAATGTACACTAATCAGCATATATTAAAATGAAATTTCATTGCATACCATTATGCATATACTCACATACACACACGTATGACACATATGTATACATATACAAGGCAAAAAAAAGAATCCTGCGAATTTACAAGATGGATGGCATAAGGAACAAAGCTGATGCAGAATCTAGTAATTCTGATATAAATACTTCAAAACCTCCTCCCAGATGAGAGCAATAGAAACAGACTGAAGTGGGGGTGTTGGAGTATCCAACAATGCTTTGAGCTCTGAGCACATAGAGTTTATAAGCAATATCCTGAATAACAGGAAATGAGCTTCCTAGAATCTTCTCAGCTGTCCTTACCACTCTCTGTATGGACCTTCTATCTGAGGCACTGCTACCACCAAACCAAACAGTGATGCAATTTGTTAAAATGTTCTCAATTGTGCCTCTGTAAAAAGTAGCCAGGATGTAGGGAGAAAGATGTGCTCTCCTCATCCAATGCAAGAAATGCAAACACTGGTTTGCACCCTTCACTAAAGATAACGTATGAAGAAACCAAGTAAGATTGTTAGTTATCTGCACCCCCAAGATACTTAATACTATTGATCACCTCCACAGTTGCAACCTTGATACAAAGTGGAGTATGACTATGATTATGTCATGTAGCATATAAATAACGAAGTGGTGTCCTCTTTATTTTTGGTCCTTTTTCTCAGGTTTGACTCATGGGCAAGTCCCTGTAGTTTTCTTGGCAAGATTTTGGAAGCTGTTTGCCATGGCTTTCTTCCTAGAGCTGAGAGAAAGAGGCCTGGAGCCACCTTGTGCCTAAGGCAAGATTAGAACTTATGGTGTCCTGATTTTTAGTCTGGTGCCTTGACCATTACTGGCTCTTGACCTGTTACATTATTGCTCTTATAGTCTCTTAACACTGACTATGCTGGCTAACAATGAGATATAACACGTTTGGAGAGTGGCAGATTTAGTGCCTTTGGTGTAAAGAAAACAAAGCATTTTACTATTTCATTAGGATCACTTGATTAGGCAGTAGATGCTCACAGGCAAAAATAAAGTACTTCTCGTGATATGTTAATTAACAGAATTTGCTGCCACAAGATATGAAAATGGTTAGTATTTAATGCCTTGAAAAGATATTACTGAAACTTAAAATTCATAATAATCTTTAGATTATGAGGCAGTATGCACTAAGTACTGGAATAGAGCAATATACCATTTGAATGCCAGTGCTTCATATGTTGCTGCATTATTTAAAAAGACTCACAGATTTCATCAGCATGCGTGCCCATGAACAGATAACATGTTGGGATTCTTCTCAAAGTGGTTTTGTATAGCCCTACAAATAAACAGCTTCTAGTGAACAGCAATGGGATTTAAAACTCTGTTTGTGGTCTTTCTGAGGGTATATGATTGGCTGCTGTGGGAAACAGACTGGGTCTTTAATCTAATCCAGATAGAAATGTAAAACATTAAGATTTTATACTAAGATTATACATTATGCACAGCATTTGTGCTTTGTGTAACAAGTTCATTTTTATGCTGTAAGGAAGTTTTTAATTTTGAAAAGCTATGCTGGGAAGAAGAAAAGCATTTCTAAACAAGAGCTACATGTATAATTAGAAGAGGCCACGTGCAAGGGAGACCATTCATTTCATTTCCTAGTTACTTTTTGTAGAATGCTGCCTCCAGATCTTCACGCAGATACCCACAGTCAGAATCTGTCTTTTAAACCAGAATATAAGATAAGATTTGAATTTTGTCTTTTGTATGTTAAAATGTGCTAATATGTTTTCTTAATGGTGCATAATCCTATTAATCAACCAAATACATGAGATTATCTCAGTAGCCTGATTGCAGGAATAAGAAACATTTAGGTATGACTGAGCTTCAGTTTTCAGAGGATTCAAACAACATGGTCAATGGTTCAACAATAGATTCCATGTTCCAGTTTCATTTACTTGTGTAATATGCTTTGTTTTTAGTTCAGCATTCATGCATGACTCAACTGAAGAGAGTCCAAAAATGGTTTATTATATTTATTATATCACTAATAAACAAAATGTTCCCTTATATCAGGCTTATATATAGAAGGCATAGCAGGTATAATGAAAAAAGAGGAAAATCATCCTCCGTTTCTAAATGTATATATTTATTATAAAAAAACCCATTTGAATCAAAGTTATTCAATAAAGGAAGGAACTAGATAAAGCTAATCTTAAAGCTGAAATGAATTGGTGCTTTTTCTTATCATCTTTTCCCTTTTTTTAGACTGTCTAAATTCTAAGTATTATCTTATAGTGATTAAGGCATCAGTAATTTTAATTATTACAGATGTCTTAGCTCTTCCAAGATTGTGTAGATTGTATATGAGAAATTAGAGATACAAAAGTTCATACTTTCTTCATAGAAATAAGCTTTTAATGGAAGTTGAATTTAAGGATTATAACGTATTTGTCAATAATTTGCTAAACAGCAAATATACCAACTACAATACTTGTGCCTGACAGAAAGCTGCACTACTTTACACATATTTTTTTTCATTGTCACCTCTTTAGTAATAGCCCGTGAGTTAGAATGTTTATCAAAAAACCTTCTCCAAAACAGTTAACAAACTACTCCTCCAAGTATTTTTAATATTTCCTCTTGTTAGTTTTCTAGCAGAACTATGGGTGTGGGTGGCTTATGGAGTGTCTGTACAGATTGTTCAACATGCATGTGCAGAT